TTGTATGGGCCATTTCTCATAAAGTATGATAATATTATGCTTGTTCAAAGTTGAGTTGACTTTTCCTACAAAACCCTAATTTAGCAACTTTTAAATCTTGATGAATTTTGAGCAATCCTTGATGAATCATGATCAACCCTTGATAAAATGATGAATTATACTTCAAAATGAGAATGTTGACAAAAAACTTGAGGTTTGACTATTTATAGGTCACATTTGACTTTTGCCCTAGCACAATCGATTTTTGGACCTCTTGAGCAATTGACTGACCAAACTTCCTCTGCAAGGCTTGAAATTTGACATGGATGAACTTGAGAACATATTAGGACATTGGGGAGCACTTGAGGTCATTTGGATGTAAGGACCTTGATGCAACACAAAACCCTAATTTGAGATTGACTGCCTTAGGAGGTGATTTGACTGTCAAACTCTTGAGCAATCTTGAACCATTTGGAGATTATTCTTGACCTGTCTTGAGAAATATGGGAGGGCAAATTTTGGGGTACAACACTAACTATAATAATGTTCCTTTCGATCTCGTACTTAAGTCACATAAAGCACCATAATTCAATAATTCCCAAAGAGGTTTACATATACTTCCACAATTTCCCTCTCATTCAATCTTGTCGATGAGACACCACCGCTCAACATATTACACGATCCACATCACACTCACTTAGCCTCACACGAAGGTTAAGTATTATCTAACTCAAGAATTACTCTCTTCATCTCCGCATCATCAGGAATGCAAATTTGATTATAGAATCTCAACACACCCTGCATATCTAACTTGAAATCATTATCCTCAGACTGATCGAGTCCAACCACCAAATCTACCAATTCCACATCTAACTTCTGAGCTTCTTTGATACTGTCCAAAAAATCATTATTAATCTTCAACATCTCCAACATAACACTCTTCGGTGTCACTTCACAACTAAGCTCATATCTCTGAACTGTTAAATTAATCATAACCCTTTAACCATCATTACCGACAGGTGCAAAGTCCTTTGGCTTAAAGCATCTGCCAGAACATTAGCTTTACCTGGTGATAATTCAAACCGAAATTATAATATTTTAACATGAACACCACCATTGCTAACTCTAAGTCATGTGTAGGATAATTCCTCTCATGAACTATGGGTCTTCTAGAAGCACAAGAAACAACTTGTCCATTCTGCATTGGTACACCACTAAGTCCCCTCTTAGACACATTCATAATACACTACAAATGACTCACTCGGGTTAGGCAAAACCAATACCAGAGCAGTCGTCAATCTTTTCTTTAGTTCTACAAAACTTTCTCCACATGCAACATCCATGTAGGAATGCATCTACCATATTCGAAAACACTTCATAGGATAAAATACATTTATATCTCCTCATAGGTTCAAATGGAACGCCAATCTGATAATTGGAACACAAGATATTAATTTCCAAAGTTATCCGAAAATGCAAACATCGACGTCATGCAGCGACATACTATTACACATCATACGGTAACATCGTAACATAATTTCTTTGCACTAGTACCAACACTTTCCATTCTTATTTCTTGAAATCGTACTCATCACCTCGCATTTCCGACTCCGACTCGCAATCTAAAACATTCCAACAACTTCAACAACTTTTACAATCACTTACAAGGATTCCACGACATGTTCTAAAGCAATCTGTCACTCTATCACTGTTCAACCGTTTACATCTTACACAAGGGCTACTCAAACTGACAACTTCACCGTCCATCAGCAGCGTTGAAACATCGTGACTTTCTAAATTCCATCCTCTAAAAATTATCCTGGTTACTTAGAAATCATCTTTAGAAACATCAGAGATTTACACTCTACTCGTATATTAACAACCGTTACATTGCTTCTCATCCTTCGAGAAGTAAACATCAACAATGTCTGATCGTCCTTCCTCAAGACGCTCCAACTTAATTAACAAACAAAATTTTGAATCCCTGTCTTTGGATTCGGGAAATAACAAGACTTCAACAATACCCGCATTGTTGCCACCAACAGCATACTGAACTAACATCTTACAACCAAAATATATCTGAGAAGTAAAGCTTCTACCCCACTTATCTTCAACTCAACTCCTGCATACAAATAGATTAGGAAAAAAAACAAGCACCGACAGTGTTTCACACACTTGTCGCACACTAAGGAACAAATAACATTAGACAACTTGGTCGGACGGATCGACCTGCTCTGATACCACTAATGTAACACCCCATTTCTACCCGGCGGATAATAATAAAATAAGAGTTCAACATAAATAGGATGCTACATTCTCAATTTAAAATTAAACTTCATTTAATCGCATATAGAATAGATACATAACACTTAATTCAGATGAACCGATAACAACCTGATTTATTCTTAAAAGTCAAACAAATTTTATTGATAAGCAGCAGAATCTACATAATCAACTTCAATTCACTTAACATCTTTTATTCAACTAAAACAACTTCATGGCAAAAATTGTTTCATGTAATAAACTTAAAAATTCAACAAATGAAATAATAATCAACAACTAAACATCAAGCGTTCATCTCCCCGAGTGCTACATATCAGAGCAACGACACCGACTTGAACTAACGAGGTAACAACTATCCTTCTTGATTACCTGCACGTTACCAACAGAGGGCAACATTCAAACAGAAGGGGTGAGATATCAAACTATATAATAAGTCGTATGATAAATGATATATTAGATCAGATCATATAAAATCACCACTTCACAACTTACAAACAACTTTAATCACAATGGAACATCAACACGATGTAACTACCAAATTCACAGCTTTTAAATAATACTTGTCACAACAAGTCAACAACATAAAGAAACAACGAATCTATCTTCACCACAACTCAAGATGGAACATGAAATGCGACTCAATTACAATGTACATGCATGTGGTACCAATAGGGCTTCAGTCTCCATCGCCAATTGCCAATTATTAGAGGCATTCAAACAAGGCATCAGCCTTCATCGCTACTTTGCCAATCCAGGCCATCACAGAGTATGCAAATGTATGTGACTCAATGAATGCACCATCACATACTCATAACAATCATCATTCATCGTAAGGCGTAAGCCCACATCGCCATTATTACCAGTAATCAGAGGTAATTCATCATCATCTAAAATTCTATGCAACTTCGCATTATCAACAAAAATTCACAACAACAATCATAACAACACAACAACAGCAATACAACAACAAATCAATAACAATAATTAAACAACAACTTAACAACAATTCAACAGAAATTCATCAATAGGTCACCAACCATTCAACATTGGCCATAGGCCTACAACATAATATTGCCCATAAATAGAGACAATTCAACCAAATTCATCATCACCTGCAATTTCATAATTAACCATAATAATTATTTTGTATAATTATTCGTACAAATCGACCAAATCCTGCAAATCAATTACCGGATAATCATCCCATTATCTATAATTTATACTAATATTTCGTATTAGTTTTCTGACAACTTAATATAACACTGCTAAATTAATTATTACCGACTCTGCAACTAAAACCATCGCTGTTATTTTATCATTCTGCCCATAATCCAATCCTCTATTAATGTCATTACTCTGCCATATATACTACTCTACAATTGTTCACTTAATCTCTGCTATTGTTTACTGATCATGTTACTAAAACTCTGTTACTCGTGTTACTATTATAGTGATGCTAGTCATATAATTACTATTAATGTCCTTACCATTATTACTTGTTTTCAAACTCTTCTATATAACAATTCTGTAATTACTTACTAAGGCAATAGACACATGGAGGACACAGAAAAACAAACAAAACAATTAAAAGGAAATAGAGATTCCAGGGCGTGCCCCTCGTCACCATAGGGTGCCCCTCGGAACCTTCTTCTCCTTAACATGTCGGTCGGCATGCCTATTTTCACCAAAATATATATCATGGTGCCGATCGGAACCCATCTCTCAACAACCATGCCGAACAACATGTATCCAGTGCCACCCGACACACATACTACACCAGAATTTTTCAATCTTCTTCGATTAACAATATCTTTACAACACCATCGTGCAACAGTAACATAGAAACTTTAACCACAATTACATCGATAGGTAAATTCCCACACATACAATTAGTTATCAACAATTTTGCAAACACATACAACATCCATTCAGGAATACAAAAACACAATTATACGCACAACATTTGCACAACCCAAACATACAACGATGATTTTACATGGAATCAACCATACGATAATTTCATACAACCAATCCCCACATACTATCCATCATATATCCAATTATAGAGTCAGAACCCCACCCTTACCTTGGATTGACGGTGTCTCTATAATTTCCGGTCGAATTCCGATTTGGCTTCCCGATTGATGTTTTATCTCCCGACGACAGTTTCCTCCAAACCCTTGTTCTCCTTACCACTTCTCACGTACCATAACTACAAAGTTTGTTCAATTAACCTAATTCCTTATTATTAATATTATTATTATGCCTACCTTTCACACGCCCACCTTTACTACATACAACCAAATAATTAAGCCCAACAATAAATCTAGTATTATTCCAATACTATTTCTACAACTTAATCAACCAAATAATCAACTAACAACAATCTCAATAACATTCTCAACCATTAATCCATAATTAATTTAATTAAATAATTAATTAAATTAACGGCCGTTACACCTACAAGCTTCGAGGTTAACATGGTAACCTTTCCACAACCCGGGAGGTTTACCTTGACAAAACCCTAGACTTCTACATCTTGAGCCGTGTGTTTTCTAGGTTACAAACCCTTCCATTTATAACATGTTAACCAACTGGTTTTGGGCCTTCAATCACAGCAAGTCAGCTGTAACATACTGTAGAAACTTCTGCCCCAAGAAAGGTATTTAATATTTAGTTTCCTAAATAATCTCCTTCTTTAGAAAGTCTTCATTCTCCTTGATTTCTGATTGAATTTTCTAGACCTTTAAATATGCGCCACATAGGATGCATAATATTCTCGCGAATATTCTGCCTCTGTTAAGAATAAACTGAATCTTGTTAATCCATCTCAGCAGGCACGATGTCGAAGACATCTTCTTTGACATGTTGTTCCAGTTGTTGAAAAAGTTCAACACAACAAGTTCTGACATTGTAATAGGACTTCTTGTTGTACATGTTCTTCTTAGCAGGTTTATACATCCTATTATACATTTCATGATTTCTGCTATTATTTGTTTTACAAAAATTAAGCCAATTCTAAAACAAGAGAACTAATAAAAAAAGAAGATTGTTATACCAAAAAGAGGAGGACTAGGCTAATTTCCTAAAAAATTAACCAACTTATAAAAATTATTACAAGCATATTTTTTACATAATCATGTCTAATATATGAAGGTAATGAGTTAAATATACTGAAGGATGAAGCTAGACGGTTTAGGTTAGCAAAAAAATCCGCACAACCGTTTTCTTCTATGAATATGTGGGAAATAAATAAAAGACATATCAAAAATGGTTTTGCGAATCGCCAATTACCTAGCTCTAAATGGCTAAAGAACTAAGACAAAATAATCAGAAGAGAAAGCCTTCACCTCATTACTTGAATTGGATTCAAGCCATTGTTTAGACCAACCACGCTATATGGATATCTCAATACAACAAATGGTGGTACAAAACTCACATACCATAGAGTTATAAGAGCAAATTGGTTCAACATAAGCCAAAATGTAAAGGTCCTTACCGTCCCTGAAAATACCACCACTACAAGAAAATGGTGGATTTTGAATGCAAGCTCTATCAACATTACATTTTATCCAATTTAACAAAGGTGGAACCCAAATAACTTTTTTTATGTTGAATACTCTAAGAGGGTGAATAGTAACTGTAAATGCCTTAATAGTAGAAAAGGCATCAAAACAACCTTTGTAACTAAGATTAGTGTTGGAACACAAGCAAGTGACATGTGCAAAAATGAGACTACATATAGATTTAAAAGGAATGATCTTGTCCTGGAACCTACTAGTGTTCCTAGCCATCTAAATACCATTAATCAAGTGTATAACAACAAATTTAATGATGAAGGAACATTGAGAGTTATGTTTATTACAAAGATTTTACATGTCATCCATAGTTTGAAGAGGAATGTTTTGGCGGATTAAAGAATCGAGCTAATTCCAAAGCTTCTTAGCAAGCAAACATTGGAAGAATAAATGAGAAATAGTCTCTACAATTATTACAGATGGAGCACATGGAGGAAAAATCATACCTCTCATTTGCATTTGATCATCAGTAGGGAGCTTGTTATGAATGAGCCTTCACACAAGGATGAATTTAAAAGAAGGGATATCAGGACTCCAAATAACTAGAACCCATTATTCATTAGCTTGATTTCTTTGCTTGAAATTTTAAGCACCTTAGTGGTTAAGGCACCATTAGTTGTTTGAGACCAAACTAACTTTCTTAACATTCAGAAGAAAGAAGATGTGTGGCTGCAACCTTTTGTTATAGAAAAGGAAATAAATCTTTCTATGCGGAAGGAAGAGTCCGAGAGTGGTTTTGAAGAAAATCAGATGCTTTAGAATGCAGGCTGGTAGAATGATGAAGCTGAGAGCTTAAATCCAAGAAAATAATCAGATGCTCCCCAGACCAATTGTCTCTCCAAAAGTTGATGTTTGCCTCATTTCCAACTAACCATAAAGCCTTATCTTTGATGCAAGAAATCTCCTTCTTTAAACCTTGTCAAATAGTTGAAGCAATGTTATAGTTGATTATGCCATAGCCTTTTAAAGCCCTAGCCCTGTGAATCCTAGCCCATTCCTCCTCTGAATTGACAAATCCCAGGCCAACTTAAGATTGTAAGCTTCATTAAGACACAAAAGAGACATGAGGCCTAACCTACCATTCTCTTTAGGTTAACACATTTTATTCCATGCAATAGTAACAAGCTTTCTAGTGTTGATGTCCCCTCCCTAGATGAAGTTCCTTGTGGCTTTTTCTATCTCCTTTAGAAGAGAAATGGGCCATAAGTAGATGGAAATTGTATTGTTGATCATATAATGAATCACGAATTAAACCAACACAGTTCTCCCTCCAATAGATAAAAGAGAGGCCTTCCAAGCTGGTAGCTTACTGAGGAGCTTATCCACAACAGGCTGAAGATGAATGGCCCTAGATAGCATACATTGAGAAGGTCATTTCTCTCTTTCTCCTCTTTTTATTTCGGATTCATAATTAAAAAATGTTTTTATTGGTTAATAAATGAGTTTGAAATTTAGATTAATTTTTTTTTTAAATTGTCTCATATTTATTATTTAATTTACATTCTATTTATACTTTTAGCCTTTAAATCATGATTATTTTTGTATTGTTCTTACTTATGTTTATTTTTTTTATGAGTCAGAGGAAGTCGAGAGCACCAATAGGGGTCTAATGTTTTAGGACCACAAGATAAGGAGACGTCACATCTCCACCCAAAACTTTAAGCCATTAGATATATAGTCATATCTCTTATAAATCTAACATTCTACCTATTCATGGGCAATGTGAAATTTAACCACTCACACTTGCACTCAATGATTTCCTTCCATATTGTTGGTGTTGATTAAAAATATACATGTTGAATAAGTCTCACATTGCTTAATTTTGTAAAGGAAGCTGGAGTCCAAGACTATACAATGAATTTAAATTCTTCATTACGAAATGCACCAATAAAAAATACTTTAAGCTTATATTTGATATTTTTATTTTCTATCACCTCGTGTTAGAGTGTTGTGAGATGTATTTAAATATTTTTCTTTGGTAATTGTGGGTGTACTAGGGGCTATGGGGGAGGTTTAGTGTAGATTATATTGTGCAACAATTCTCACATAGTGTTATTCTTTAGTTTGTCATTTGACAACGATTATGGTTTTTTTTCTTCGGTTTTAGAGCTTCCATGTTATGTTCTTGTGCTTGTTATGGTGTTCCTCTTTTTATATGAATAAGTTTTTCCTAACAACTAGTATCTGAGTTTTTTGATTTGATCCGAGGATATGGGTTCTTAGTATGCTATGTGGTTGCAGCTTTGTTTGATTTTTCACATTAGAAAAGAAGGTTGGTGTTCTGTTCTAGAACCAAAAATGGATTAAGAAGTTGTGACAATGGTTAATTAAAGGATCTGGTGGAGAGGTGGATGACATATAAGGTAGGTAACCACTCCAATGCTCAAACCAGTATGTAAAGGAGAAGATTGTATTGAAATTGAATTTGAAACTGAGTACCTGAATTTGGTGTCTTCTCTATATATAATAGAGAGGGAATAACAAACTCATTATTTGTTAGGAGTAAATTGTGGAGAGTTGTTGGTATTGCATTCAGTTGAGATCCTTTATGATCATCAAGAGGAGAGTCCTTGTGTGCTAAGAAGATTCACGAAGGATTAAAATTCCATCAGAGTGGTCGGCTAGAATCATTATGGTTGGTCTAGAATAGGTGGTGTTGTTAAAGTGTTGTTGATTTGTAGTAAAAAGTTCTACTATACATTTTGGGATAGAGAAAATTGATGAAAGAATCATTTTTGACATACAAAAAATTCAAATCAAAGATGCGGTGATACAATCAAGATGACACAAGGTATTGGTTAGTTATTAGTACATGATCAATGATTGACGTTGATGCAAAATGTGTTTTGAGATTATTGTTGAAGAGTTTTCTCTCAACATGGGAGTTTCATCATAACTTTTGAACAAGGTTTTAACATGTAGAAATTCTTGGATTTGTTTAGCTTCCAGGGATGTATACTCTTATATCGGTCGAGTATGATAGTTTTTTTAATCATGGTTGCTAGTGAATACAGTGTGAAAATTATTAAAGTGATGTAGCTTCAAGTGACTATACTATTTATGGGGGATTATGATAGTTCTTTTGAGCTATAATTATTATTAAAGGTAATGGAAGCTAGTGTATCATTTTCAATAAATGTGGAGATTGTTGGTTGAAAATATACATGTTAAATAAGTCTCATATTTCTTAGTTTTGTAAAGGAATGCAAGGGGCCTAAGCCTATATAACAGATTTAAGCTATTCATTACAAAATGTCTCAATAAAAAATATTTTAAGTTTATTTTACATTTTTCTTTTCTCTTATACTTTTGTGTTAGAGTGCTATGAAATATAATTAAATATTTGCTTTGGGGAGTATATGTGTACTAGGGATCATGTCGTTGAGGGTGGATTATTTGGTGTAAAAATTTTCACATAATATTTATGGTTGTCATTCGGTGATTTTTCTTAAGTTTTATAGTTTCCATGTATATCGATCTAGAAGAAGAATTACTCTCAAAAGCTTAGTGAATTTAGACAAATTTCTCTAGTTGGGTGTATATATAAATTGTTAGCTAAAGGGTTGGCGAATAGATTTAACCAAGTTATTAATCTTATAATTGTGAAGTTTCAAATGATGTTTGATAAAGGTTTTCAAATCCTATATGATATCTTATTTCTAATAAGATTATTGGTGAATTAAAAGAAAACTAAAGAACTTATTATATATAAAGTTAATTTTGAATGGGCTTTTGATTAATTACATTGTGGATATTTGGATTCAATGATGAAGATACTTAGATTTTTGGTGGAAAATTTCATATTAATTTCAAGGCTATATAAATGCGATATTATTACTTTTTAAAGTGGTTTTGATGTGATAGTGTCATTTTGTTGATGTAAAGAGTAGAAGTGGAGGTTTAGCAGTGTTGTGGAAGAATAATATCAAATGTAGAGTGATGAATTTTCAACATAATTGTGTGAATTTTCTGATTGAGGATGACAAGAGGGGGGAATAGAGGTTAACATGTTAATATGGGTATCTGGAAAGAGGAAGAAGAAGACAAGTGTGGGACGTAATGCGAGAACTCTAACATGTCTAATTTACTATGGTGCATCATAGGGGATTTTAACGATCTCCTAACTCAAGACAATAAGCAAGGCATCTACCCACATACTAAATGGCTATGTGTGGGATTTAAAAATGTAGTTGGAGATTGTTATTTAACCGACATCAGACTTGAAGGTCATCCATTCACATGGATCAAAATTAGGGGCACCTCTCATGTTATTGAAGAAAGACTTGGTATAGATATGGCAAACACAAATTGGTTAGCTATCATTCTAATGTACTACTTCTAAAGTTGTTGACATCATATTCATATCATATTCCAATCCTGCTACACTATGAACCTGTTCAAAAATGTTATTATAAATACTTTTTCAAATTTGAAAATAGTTGGCTGAAAGAAGAGGACGTTTAAGAGGTGGTGAATACAGGGTGGGCACAAGAAAGAAAGCTTAAAATTATCAATCATATAGTCTGTTGTGTGGAAGAACTTAAAAGACAAAGTAGACGGAAGCATATAAATTTAAATAGGAGGTGAAAGAATGAATGAAAAGGATAGAAAGATAACATAGTTGCCATGAACTTGAAAATGTTGAAAGGTTCATGGCGACGGAGAGGATACATACCAATGCACTTATTCAGGAGAAAACATTATGGAAACAACATACTAAAATGCATTGACTTAGGGAGGGTGATCTTAATACAAAGTTCTTTCATATGTCGGCCACAACTAAAAGAAAATTAAAAAAGATTGAGAAGCTGATTAATGAAGACCAAACTGAAGTCAGGGATCAAACATGCCTATGTGAAGTGGAAATGGCATATTTTAGCCAATTATTTGAAGCAAAATAAGGAATTTATGAACCTTTTCTTTCCCTCATACAATAGCGAGTATATCAATTAATGATAATGAGAGATTTCTAGAGCCTATTACCAAAGAGGAGATGCCTGAGGCACTGATTCATATGTATCCAGATAAGTCACTAGTTCTGAACAAATTTAATTCTGCATTTTATCAAAACTTTTGAGGTACGTGTGATGATTATATTTTTGCAGCGGTGACTAACTGGATGGAGAGAGGTTACTTTACCTCTTCACTTGAAGACACAAATATATGTCTCATTCCTAAATGTGAGAATCCTAGTACCATGAAGTATTTGAGACCTA